GCAAACTGAAAAACGTGGTTCAGTTTGGAGTCCATTTCCGACGTTGAGTTTGGTGGGCGCTAAATCTCAGCTAGTAGACATGTGTCCTTGTTTCGCAACCACAGGCGGCACCAAAGCGAATCAGGAGCTCGGATTTCCGGGTGATCGATAACTTCACATCGGAGGTTTGTATTGTAGTAAAGAATCACACCGCCACTCCTTCCGGTTCCATCGGTCCGAAGCAGCGACATAACAGGTAAATTGATCTCAGAATCGGTTCCCTCAGGGTTTAACCATGTCTCTGTAATCATACCGATGTCCCGCGGTTGTGAGGCATGGAGTTCTCTAAGTTCTGCCAACTTGCTTAGAAGGCCTTGGGCGTTTGTATACATGCAAGATAGGGCTTTTGTTGTTAGGAGTTCATTGATAGATGTCAAGTTTGTGTTAATTTTTAAGCCGGCCGTTTTTTTGGTTTATGTATTTCAGTCGTGTTGCACGGCATTATTAAGCGTCCTGAACAGACGGTTCACTCGTGCTGTGCTCGGTCCTCCTGTGTGCCGTGGGCGCTGTTGTGTCGGTCTCTCCACAGGACTGTGCAAATAAACAATTTGTTGCGTTTGCAAGTGCCATTGAATTGCTTCCGACATTTGGTCGTTCGCCTACTGCTTTTAGCCGGATCTCTGTTGGCAACCTAGCTCGAAACTTTAACCAGCTATCCAACAGAACTTGCGTCATTCCCGCGGAGTGTAGTATTACTTTCCTTAGCCTTGGACCGCAGCCGTTGTAGTTAGGTGATGAAGAAACTCTTGTCAGGGATTTGGCAATAACATTGTCAAGAGAGTGCTTCGCGGATGTAGCACCACTTCTCTCGGTCGTGCGTTTGTGCATCGTGACCAGACGAATGCAGAAGCTCAGGAACAACATGAACAAATATTGTTTTCTCGCTATCCCTATTAGCAATACCGCGTTGCTCAACTGCTTCTTTTGGGCGATCTTTCCAAGGTAGATCAGGTAATATGCGCACTCCGCTCGGTGAGTTGCGAAGACGAACTGCTGAGAGCAGAACAGCCTCTGTCTCATCTGCTGAGTTTAGTGTTACTCGAAGAATTCGAGGTTCACCAGAGTGCACTGAGGTCGGGTGACGCGCTACGCGTTGCAGCACTGCGGGCTCAACCCGAATGCCAATCGCCTCGCAGATGGAACTCCACTGACTGCGATCGTCTTGCAACTTGCCTTTTATTGTGCCAGATTTGGATTCGGGAACATTGGTGCACACAAGAGTTAACGCAGCGTGGTTTTGGCTATCCAGTGTTGGCTTTATACTTTTGCCGGCAATTCGTGTTGTTTAGAGGGTACCACTGGAGTTGACGGTGAAAGCTGCTTTGCGCCACGCGTGCTCGGTATTGAAGATGGACCTATGTGTGTCACTCCCGGTGTGTTTGTCGAGACAATCGATGCGTACGTTACCTGCTTGTTATCTGCACCGGATTTCCTTCAGCTCTTAGCTGTCGGTGTCATGGCTGAATCTCCAAGTGAAGCGTCTATGGTCGGAGAAGTGGAAGCAGGCATGTTTGAGGCTTGCCCACTTATGGGAGTGAGGTGACCCAGTGGATTTCGAGTCAGTGCGATCGGAGCGTCACGCTCTCTTCTTCGGTTTAGACTCAGAGCTTACTTTGGCCGGGTGAGGTATTATCGTGGCCATATTTACATCCCAGGGAGCGATCTTAGTATTTACAAATTGCGCGATTATTGCAGTCATTCTATCGCATTTTTTCATGAGCAAAGATAAACAGTTGACAACTGGAATGACTTGACATGTTGGGCAAAACCAAATTGTGTCAGCAACTTGGTTTGTCTATCTCATTTCTTGGACGGATTTGCCTGCACATTGCGGACAGTAGGATCTAATGCAGCTAGAACAGGTAATACTGATCTTAAGCAATTTACTGCAGTTGTCTGCGCAACATAGGCGACGTTGAACCATTGGAATGCTAGTCGTCCTCTTATTGTTTACAGCAAGGCCTATCTAAGCGCTCAAATTGATGAGTGTACTTTGCGCTAGGGGTGACGCACGAATAGGTCAGAGCGCGCACATGAATTGAGGGTTGTTCAACCGCAACTAGGTCAGGCGGTAGGGGCAGATGGAGGTCGTAACGCACAGACGGTCGGGTTCAGCGATCAATCGACTCGCAGTTGAACACACACACCCACAAAAAGCGGCAGCGTGTGTTAATCGGTCTGCCTTAAGCGACGATGCAGGTGGAGCGCTGATAAGCGTCCCTAGAGCTGCTCAGTTGATGAGCAGAGCATACAGGCTGTAACTTTGTTATGCTGCAACTTGCAGGGATGGTTGCCGCGTAGTTCGGGAGCCCTTAACTTCTTCTTCCGAATGAGACCGAAATCTCTTCCCAAAACCGGTTTGATGTAATTACACAAGTGGAATTCGACAAAGAATATGCCGAAAACGGGGAACTGGAGCAAGGGTGTAATTCACACAGGTTAGATCCAAAAGTAGGGAAGCACTGAGTAGAGCACGTCGAACTGGTTCGAACGAGTGCACGCACAATATTATGCGAGGAGAATTGGAGTGGCCACAGAGGGCAAAGTGAGAGACGAGTTAAAGTGCGGCCGCACGGTAGGGTGTCACAAGCAACAGCTGCGAGCTCAGCGGCAGTCCTTTGCTCAACAGCCGAGGATGGAGAGAGTTGGGAGGGGGATAAAGAAGAGGAAATGTAGTCGACGGGGCAGAAGATACTTTCCGGTAGCCCATTCCGGAAGACTGGTGGAAATGGTTATGAGGTTGATAAAAATCGTTGTGCCACTTTCCACAGGCGAATTTATTACAACAGATAAACAATCAGAATAGTCAGTGAATAGATAAGCTGATGATAAAGAGTTAAAGGGCTAGTGGCCTAGAAAAGGCACGGGAGACTCTGGAAGCGCAAACTGTATGCCAAATAACAGAACCAGTCCTAAGAGTTTCCAGGATGGACTGTGCCATCATGTGATAGTTAAACAAGACGACGTCACCCACATAAGCTAGACCAACCATCATGTTAATGTCTGCATTGTGAAACACTACAAGGAAGAACGTCATGCCGTAGTTCCCGAAAACAGTGAACAGAAAGTGAAAGTGATACTGAAAAAAGTCACTTGTTGACGAGGTGTGTGACGATTCACCACAGACGCTCAAGCGATGTGAAGTTATGGAGTAAGGAGTAGATAAAATGTTTACACATTGTATGGGAATGCCGATGGAGTGGTACAGAGAATAGAAAGGAGATAATAACTAGAACGTTAAGCTAGTGGAAAAACACATAAAGAAATGTAAACATGGTTAAAACCGACCCGTCAGAAAGGAAAACAGTGTGTCTATCCCTCACGTGGGATTCCAGTAAGACAGTAATGCGATGAAGAAGAAGAATAGAGAGCAGTTGGACTGATCACACCGCTGTCAAGTCCAAACCAAATCAGGACGTCGGGACTGTGACCCTTTGCTTGAGAGACACCGGACATGACAACCAGCAGATCAGTGGAAAAGGGATTCGACACGAGATATCGCACTTCCTAATGGTATACATTGTACCGCTGACGCGAGAACAAAGGTGATCACCAGAATTACATAATACTCTGAGAAAGGTGAAAAAAACTTATGCCGCAATTGTGTACTAAAGCAGCGGACATAAAGAGGCTAGTTATGTCCGATCATCGGTGCCTTCGCAGTTTGGTTCACATCCGGTGGGAACGTCGCGTGAGCAACGGAGCGTGTTCAACGCCATGTTTACGGAACAGCACGGTTACTTTACGTACTTAGCTCAGATGGTATGGCCATGTGTTACGTATGCTAATCCACCTACTCCTGCGACGTGCGTTGTTTGCTCGCCGTGGGTGTGGATGGAAGAAGAGGAGAGGTGGCCAAGTGATGACTTGGTCCAGAGAAAGGAAGGCCCTTACTTCGGAGCTGGCCTCGGTTTGAGAGTCCCGGCTCCCTGGTTGGGGTTCGAAAGACGATGAACACGTTTGGCTGGATACACTTGCTGACATGGCAAGGAGCCGACCTCAATCGTGTTCGTGCTGTGAGTTGCTTTGTGCCACGCCATTTCTTTTAGCCTCCGCTTCTAACCACGATCTCTGTTCGGAGCATAATACAATCTTACATAATAATTGTTTGTTGCCTAGTAGCCGGCCGGTAGCTTTCCTGAACGATGCTCATCTGTTGCTGGTAGCCCAGCTGGCACACAACTGTTGCACTTATTTTCCTTTTATTTATTGCGGCACAGTAGCTGAGGTATATTACATCCCTAGCTAACGTGTATAATGATGATGATGAGTACCAAATTGTTCGCGTGATGGATTCGTCCAACCAGTGTGACCACAAATGGTGAACTCCCAAAAGTAGGGGCAAGCGGAATAATGGGTATAAAAGGTATCAGCAGCACGCCGATATGTAGTACCGACGTTTCGCTGCATCGTAATCAGCAGCAGTCGCGCGTTGGCTACGGATACTGCGAAGGTCAACCGATCCCCTAAGCAGGCTCGAACCCGCGCCCTAGGAGTTCAAGGCATGCTTGTGATCCTTTAGCCTACGGGCAGAGCAAGCAACGCTCCACTCCAGTCATAAGCAAAAAAGATTGCGAGTCGCCTGAGAAGGAACTCCCTGATACTTAGATGAATTACCCATTCCTCATAACGACAGTCGAACCCGTCACACCCCAAAAGCAACGTGGACGCATACAACGACTGGGCCGTGTTTGACGTAGGACGAGAGGAATACGTGGGAGCAGCGGGTGGCGATTAAAACTGAGTGAAAACAAATGCAGACAAAGAGAATAAGACATAAAGAGGAAGCAAAAATACACATGGATCAGAAGACATCAAGCAACGAACATGCGGGTATGAAACGAAGCGGTCGATGCACCGAACAAAGACTCCATGCAGCCAGAAGGAGAACGAGAATAAAGTGGGAGAGAGTGGAGCGTGACAAAGCAAAATTCGCGGCGACATGGACGTGAGAAACTCACTTTGAGCTGGTCTTCGTGCATTAATAGGCGGTTATGAAGCTGTAGTGAGTTCAGTTTAGGGGAAAGGGGATGAGCCGGGGATGAATGGAAGACTCAATAACGCGGTTGCAGAATAAAAAGGCAATGTAGATGGTCAGCGGAGTGATGAGAGATTTAAAAGTGCGTGTTTACCGTATAGCGCAGCGACATGCACCACAAATGACAGTGCAAATACATGCTGTTGGTCTACCCATAATAAACTCAGGTGCGCCCTGCAATAAATTGGGTGAAACATCGAAGTGCCCTATCAGCAATGAGGGATGTTCAATGAAACCTCAGTTGGCTTGGTGTGAATTGACTAATATTATCCATAGGAGTGGTAGGGGAAGTTGAGTGGTGTGGACTCAGTCAGACAGCCATCACATGTTCGGAAAAGCACTGTAAGGCGGTTCCATCCTTTCGAGAATCGTCAGCAATGTGAATTCCATCGGACCCCTCCTGTGGAGCTGGCACCCACAATTCGACTGTTGCAAGTCTGCGGTTGGGGACACTAAGCTACGGGGGAAGGCGACAATCTTCATGCTATAGTGTCGCTCACTATCCGGTGAGGTTATACATAGGCAACGGGAGTATTCTTTGAAAAGTTAAGAATGAGACATCCGATATTTCACATCATCATCATCATCATTAAACGATAGCTGAAAGTGAGAAATACACTTTAGCTATTGGGTCGCAATAAAAGATGACATTTTATGTACAAACGATCAAAGAAAGGAGAGTATATAATATAGGAAGAGAAGGGTTAGGAAAGTGAAAGTGTTCAAATACTTACCTCTTCAGTGGTCGACTGGGAAGTGTTTTGCGTGAAAGCCGTCGCGTTGTTATGCAAGGCATACGCATCGTCTTTGGTGATGCGACTCAATTGCAAACGCAGGCTGGCTGTCTCTCGAGTAAGAAGTTCCAATTCGCGAGTAAGACGTTCCCTTTCTGCTCGCTCTTTTTCGTACAGCTGTCGATAATCAATTGGTTTAGTCTACAGGGGGGAATCGGTGTTCAGAAGAAAAAATAGACTGAGAGCACACTAACATCAGCCGAATTAGAGTAGAGGTGAAGATGATGGGGAGTAGAGAATAAAATACCTCCCGAACAACAGTGCCAGGCAATAGGAGGATGCGAAAAGAGTCGCATAACCTAGCGGTGCTCCAAACGGTCTCTGACCTTTCAAACGGGCAGCAGAGATAGATTGAACACTACATCCACCGGATTAAGAAAAAGTATGTGCGCGTGAAAGGGGGCACCCAAGGGTGGTGTCAAGCGGTTATGGGAACGACGCGAAAGCAACCAACAAGGCAAATATGCACAAGGCGTTTGAAACGACTATCATAAGCCGCAGCAAATTCCAACAGAGTGGATTCTCGTGATGAGCACCACGGCAGACGTGTCACACAGAGTGTATAAGGACAACAGTAGATAAGCAAGTGTTTATCCGAGAAAGAATTTGTGGCGAAGTGAGCATATCCTACCTTGGGGAGCCCACAACAAACGGTATGTGAGTGGGTCAACACGCCAGAGGTGTAAGAGAAAAAGCTGTTCAAATTCCACCATATCGTGCTGAAAAGCATGCATCTTTGAGTGGGGAACATGCAGGCTGGTGCGAGTGGCGTTCCATGCGGATGCGCCCAGTGTACAACGCAAACCACTGGCTTCTGTATGTCAGGCGCAACACGCATCAGCTATAAAACAAGTTTTAGCGAATTTGACTCAAGTCGATGATAAATATAAGAAGGCCAATGGACCGAGTCAGGTAACATCGAGCTCCACACATTTACAACACCTAATTACAGTCGATACTTCGCCCAAATCGTTTGTCATATAGTCGGATAATTGGCGTGGAAATCACAGTGCCCTACGCACGGACCTCTAAGTGCAGGCTAGTGGAAACTACGCGTGAGACAGCCATTTTCGCGCTAGATGCAGATGTCATGCAAGCGATACTCCGTAGGCGAATGTTAGCGATGTGCGAATTGTCAGGTTTCACACTGGTTTTCACATCCGGGGAACAGCTGACGGAATTGGTCGATCGGTTCAGTTCATTATACAACAATATAGTCCTTGGTGGTCTCACAACGCAGCTAGCAACAGTATGCATGGATGGGGCTCGGACGACGTTCCAAAGCCACTATCAATTAAGGAGATAAGTAGGTGCAAGCCACATTGATTCGGGGAGTGGATTAGAGGGTTAAGTTTCAACCAGTGTTGTTGGAAGGTTTATGCGCTTGGCCTCTACATGTTGAGGAAGTGAGACTACTGAACGTAATCGAACACCGATGCCTGCGAGCTACAGGCCAAAGCTGATGGGGAAACCGAGTAGGTGATGTTGAAGTTTGTAGTTTTGTGTTGGACAACAGACTCTTCAGTGCCCTATCGGAGTGTTTGTTGTACGTGAATCATCTTCGCTGGTGCTCCGTACACCGGCAAGCCGACTGCCTCAACGTGCATCGTTCATAAATACTGGGCCTAGTTTGACAAAACTCCGAAGTGATTAGTAAGTAGGAGAAAGGAATAAAAAACTTACGGAAAGGCTGAACCAAGTCGGTCATTGGCGTCTTCCAGAGTGAAGTCATCAGCGTCGGCCACAGTAGCAGTTAGATATAGTGTGGTCACGGAGTCAATGGCGCTGTTGCGTTGTTCCCTAATGCCTGGCTACTAACTCTAGTATCTGATGGTTTTATTCCTTTCTCATTTGCTTTGAAATAGCTTAAATACTACAATTACCATCGTCAGTATTTTGGCGAAGTGTGTCAAGGTAACTTGATTCACCGCAAGCCAGTGCACGACAGATGACAACTTAATAGATTTAATCAGACTCACAGGCGCCAGTCAGCACTAAGAGTATGAAAAGCGTTGACCAGGCTCCCATCTGTGACAGCTCACAAATGTACCAAACTGTACTGGACAGATTAGCAATGGCTGTCAGCCGCCGCGGGTTTTGCTTCGCACCACCGAAGCGCAAAGCCTTCTTCCAAGATTGGTCTGGACCGCCTCTTGCGCTGGTCCTTGGTGGGGATCAGCTAGCAGTCGTTCAAAAATTCATCTACCTGGGAAGTTGTATCCGCGCCCGTGGGATTGAAGGTGAAATCACGAATCGTATGGCAAAAGCACGGGGCGCTTTCGCTAACCTTCGCCACTTATGGCGCCGGCGCGACATCACTCTTGCCTTGAAGGGTAGAGTGTACAATGCAGCAGTACGTTCGACTCTACTTACGGTTGTGAAACCTGGCCCCTTAGATCAGCCGACATAAAGAGGCTAGCTACGTTCGACCGCCGGCGCCTTCACAGTTTGGCTGACATCTGGTGGGAACACCGCGTGAGCAACGAGTATGTTCGACGCCTTGTTTACGGCACAGGAAAAGGAACTGAAGCGCTCAGCACCGTCAGTTCACCCACCACGCTTCGATGGCTCGGCCACGTGTTACGTATGTCAGCCCAGCGGATCATCATCATCATCATCATCGTACACGCTAGCTAGAGGTGGGGAACACCTCAGCTACTGTGCCGCAATACATAGAAAAAAAGGAGAGAAAAAATGCAACTGGTGCAAGCTGGCTGAGCTACCGGTAACGGATGGGCATCGTTCCGGTAAGCTACCAACCGACTGCTGTGCACCAAAACAAAAAAATTACTATGCAAAATTATATAAGGCTAAATAATGAGATCATGGTTGGAGGGGGAGGCTAAGAGGGATGAGTGGGACAAACAAACTCACAGCACGAACGCCACTGAGGTCGGCTCCTAGCCATATCAGCAACTGTGTCCAACCAAACGTGTTCATCGTCTTTCGGACCCCAACCAGGGAGCCGAGACGCTCTAACCGAGGCCAGCTCAGAAGTGAGGGCCTTCATTCCTCACCACCAAGTCATCGCTTGGCCACCCCTCCTCTTCTTCCATCCACACCACCGGCGCGCAAACAACACACGTCGCGGGAGTCGGTGGGCTGGCATGCGTAACACGTGGCCGAGCCATCGGACCCTGATGCGTGAAATAACGGTGCTGAGCGGTTCAGTTCCTTTTCCTGTGCCAAAAACAAGGCGCCGAACACGCTCGTTGCTCACGCGGTGTTCCCACCAGATGAGAGCTAAATTACGAAGGCACCGGTGGTCGAACGTAACTACGCTCTTCAGGTCCGCTGCTTTAAGCGGCCAGGCTTCACAACCGTAAGTAGGGTCGAACGTACTGCTGCATTGTACACTCTACCCTTCAAGGCAAGAGTGATGTCGCGCCGGCGTCACAAGTGGCGAAGGTTAGCAAAAGCGCCCCGAACTTTTGCTATACGATTCGTGATTTCATCTTCAATCCCACGGGCGCTGATACAACTTTCCAGGTAGTTGAAGCCCAGCGGATCCCATGACGTGCCTTGTTTGCTCGCCGTGGGTGTGGATGGAAGAAGAGGAGGGGTGCTCAAGCGATGACTTAGTCGAAAGGAATGAAGGCCCTCACTACGAAATTCGCCTCAGTTGGAGCGTCTCGGCACTCTGGTTGGGGTCCGAAAGACGATGAACACATTTGGCGGGATACACTTGCTGACATGGCTAGGAGCCGACCTCAGCAGTCGTGTTCGTGCTGTGAGTTGCTTTGTGCCATGCCATTTCTTTTAGCCTCCGCCTCTAACCATGATCTTTGTTTGTAGCATAAGATAATCTTACATAATAATTGTGTGTTGCCTAGTAGCCGGCTGGCAGCTTTCCTGTTACTTGTTACTCTGCTGGCATGCATCTGTTGCATATTTATTTTACATTTCGCGGAACAGTAGCTGAGGTGTTTTCCACATCTAATTAAGGTGTATAACATTGAAATGTAATGTACGAATCATTTGGATGAGTTAGCGATAGTATACTGCTGCTCCCGCTCACTCCATTTCTTGAGTCCTACTGGAAAAGTAGAATTTTCGTCAGCATACTGGTTGGATTTTAGCTTACGTCTAATAACCCGTCCGGTTAGGTTGTCGTCAGGGTCAGCGGGGAGGTTTCTTATGGATTCCAACAGCTTCACCAATCTCTCGGATATCCAGTGAATGATGCGGTGACGACTGATAGCATAGGCACCCGCGCAGTGCATGCGACCAAGATCCATCGAGGCCCAATGTCCTTAGGGTGAGAGGATGAGAGTTCAGTACACAGGGCATCTTGGTAGATTTGCCTAATCAAAGAAAGGGATGACCTCTCGATTGCCAGTAAAGGGAGACACTTCCTACACCTTCCGATACGATCCAAAGAAAAGCGACATAGTACCAAAGCATGATCAGTGTCAACGCACTTATTCCAATACTGGCTACAATTCATGATGGAATCAAACCAGCTGTACTTTATGGTAATGTGCTCTATTTGGGTCCATTGCTGATCAGCTATAAGAGGACGTCAAGTGGCACTTTGGCGGCCATGGTATCTTAAAACAATGCAGTAAGAAACAGCCGGTGCTCCGTACACAGTTGCAACAGACGCCGGCTATTGTTCGCTCGTTCGGAATTAGGTCCATACTTACCATCAGTACAATTTCTGAGGGGCTCATATATGCGACATGCGCCTTCCTACCCCGTGCAACAACAACCGATATGGGAACCGGTGACGGTGCATAGTAGCGTGTTCACTTCGTGGTAGAAGGTGTTTTTGGCATCATCAGAACTGCAATCGGTGGGGGCACACGCGGAAACAAAAAACAAACAGCATTTAGCGCTACCTTATGAATCGACCTTAGTTGATGCCACCAAACTGCTTGCAGATAAACGAGCGCCCACGGCAGCCCAAAAATCAACGAGCACACATTATTGTAGCTGAGAATTATGCTCACCCCAGCTTGACTAGTGGTTGCCGCATCAGCTACTCGGGATGCGTGCAACAAATGACGAGAGAACAAGCCGGCGGCAATTAATTCAACAATCGCGTGAGGGTCATCGATTCTGGTTTCAGATACATAACGCACGTCGAAGCTCAATGTGTGTGTAAGTAAAGCCTGTTGACTTAATAGTTGCCAGGGGAACTGGACATGTCCTTATAAGAAGTTGCTGTCGGTAGGAGTCCAGTAGGTGATGCAGAAACATAGCTACAGTTGGAGGAGCCTCAGCTGTATCGGAGCTACTGTCCAATAAGCTGTTAATTATGGAACGTTAGTAATGAGGGCCGGGGGGTGAATAAGAGAGACAAGAGGGAAAGAAAGAAGGCGCCAGCAGTAGCATGTTTTCGGTTATCTGCCATGCTGTATGCCGCAGATAAGGCAACCATAGTAAAGATGCGCGATAACGGATACAGGATGCTGTTGAAGTTGGAGGAAACAGCCATGGTTGTAGGTGGGCTGAGACAATGCCAGGGCACCCAAATCTGGGCAGGAAGAGGACTGGCGTCAAAAACCATAGCCTTTGGCTCAAAAACCTGTCCGTAAGGCAGTCGGGAGGAGGTAGTAGCAATCCGATTTTGCATAAATGACCGCGATCCCATTCCCAACCCTCAAACTTGAGTCTGAGTTCCTTAGCCAAAGTTGGTAGCAGTAGCTCCCAAGGAGCAATGGGATATCACCCAGTATAACACAGTACGTTGAAGAGTTACACAAACCGTTGCACCAGATTAGGTCACTTGCATGTACATTGCACTGAGACTTAAAAGGACAGAAATCCTGGGACCCAGGTTCATCGTACACCAAGTAATAATGCTCACTTTGTTAATAAGTCAAAAGCGTCGTAGTCAAGTGGGTAATTAAAAAGGCACCAACAGCATCGACGATACCCTGCCGCTCAACCACCAACAGTCGCATGGGGGCTAGGGATAGTGCAAAGGTCACGCGGTTCGCTACGCGGGCTCGACCTCGGATTACAAAGCAGGCGTGTGATCCTAAGGGGTACGGGCCGGTGGGTGATTATAAAACGATAAACGACGTTGAGCTATCCACAAAGCAGGGGCCGCTGCCGGGCGCACCCTTCAAGATTGAATAGTGTGGATGACCTAAGTGGATGCTCTCCGTGCGACGGTGCCGGACAAATGAACATTCCGTCGATGTATCAGATTGTGATGAGGCCCGATTCAACAGTCCAAACCGGTTAAGCCTCCTGCCAATTCATGGTTGAATTATCGATGAAGATCATTACAATCTCCTGCGTCACGCATTCAAAGAACGCGAATGTTGTTTGTAACCATGATCTATTTTGAGCATGGTTTAGTTTGGATGAATCGTGTTTATCCAATGCAATAGAAAGCACTGAAACCTTAAATTTGAAATCGTATATTAATGAGGAAGTCAGCTGATAAAGCTATGGTAATGGGGTAAGAAGATGGGTTTACACGAACGCCCACTGTCTGGAGAGTGAATGAAAGCAACGGTCTCCGTCTAGCCAACAGGCGTTTGTAAAGGCACATTGCATCTCGATTCGATATGACGTAGAATACAGTGCGGATTCAATCAGTTGTTTCAGGAGAGAACTGTGCAGGTTCCCAACAGTCCCATATTACAATGAGGTAGGGCTGTGTTTCGCTGCTCTCTTCGACAGACGTCTAGTGGTTTGCCCAAGGTACACTGCAGCCCGTGGGGGGCGAACTGACATGGGATAAAGTGTTCGAATCGAGACGGAAATCTATAAGTTAGGCGCTGGGTAAGAAGCAGAACAGTTCAAGTATGCATAGGGGGTTGGCGGTCGGTAATTTTCCATGCAGCAACTTGGAGGTATTATCACCAATGAAAGAAAGATATCCTTTCTCGTAATAGACTAATCAGGATTTCTTCTCGATGAACATGGTATAGTAACTACTGCTTGCTATTTTTTTGAGAATGGATACCCAATCGATCTCTGATGTTTTCGACTTCCAAATTTTGATGACCCGAGAGCTAACTAGGTTCCGCCAGTATATTATGGATAAAAAACTGAGAAACTAGTGTGCTGGTTCTTTCAGGTTTCCGTTCTGAAAACATTCACTTCGAACAACATATTATCTCTTTGTCAGAGCAAAACGACTCAATCTCCCCCGTCCCCGCATCCGACTAGTTTCAGGTGTTCTTTATCGTCCTAGAAACACATGAGCAAACGAATCTGTGTGGAATCAGGAGTAGAAATAAAATACAACCCGTAACTGATTCGTACAAACCTGATGAGAATCGCTGAAAAGCAATTTCTTGGCAAGCAACCGGCCCTCTAAATTTTGCATAGCACAATTTGCGATTGAAAAAAACTGAGACATGCGGATGGTACGTGTGTATGATTCGAGTTCGCTTACATCCCCAAAACGCGCAGATAACTGCCGCAATTTTTGGAGTGACATGTATACCAAGTGTATACATAACGAGGGAAGCGCCGTTGGAGCATCAGAGCGGTGAAAAGTGTACACCCCGTCTACCACAGTAAAGATTAGCAACCTCCTGGGGCCAGCAATCAGGGTATTGGCAGTGGACATCGTAAGCAACATGATCCGAGGGAGTCGTAGTGAAAGTAATCGATAATAGTGGGGAAAGTCACACTCACACTGTCGTATCTGGACGACGGGTCACCGCGTGTGTTAACACGGTGATCAGAGCTGACCGGCAAGGAGGATGTACTATTACAGGAAACATTAGGAAGAGCTGCTCCTGATCCGTAATTTGAAGTTGCCACATTGCCGTTACGTGAAGGTTGGGCTGAGTAGGAAGAGCCAGTGGGCAGGTGATTTGCTTGCGACCAAGCAGGATGATTTTCACTTCGGTGAAAGAAGCGACTAGACGGCTGAGATGGACGCGAGGAAGTGAGTGGGTTTCCGTGCGAGAAAAAAGGAAGATGGATGAGCATGGATACAATCGAGCACATGCAAATCATGAGAACACAGCGAACAAACAGTATAAAAGCAAGCATGAGATTTACAAGTCGAATGCGATGAAGCAATGCAATCGATGACATCAGGAACGACATGAGGAGCGGACATTAAAGGCATGCGCATGCTTGGCGAAGTAGGATATACGTTTGTGAAAGAGAGCAGGGCGAATAAGTCAGCAGTCAAATGTGAACCAGGCGATGAAGCGTAAGTGATAGGGGGTCTTCAAACATTATAAAGAAGTAAAAAATTGTGACATCCTAGCATGAGAATCCGTTTCAGCTGATTTTCATGTTAACATCGACAGGAGCACTGATTAAAGATAAGCAGCGTCAAACAAGTAAATCGTCAGGTGTACGCAGTAACGGCGCTTCGCTGCTACGCGACCACCACCAGTCGCGCGAGGACTGACTATACGATGAGGACGACCACCCCTACGTGGATTTGAACCGGTGAGCTTATGGTTGCAAACCAGGCGCGCAGACCACTCGGCCAGCGGCCGTTAATCAAGGAAAAGTGAGTAAATCGATGCAGACATTGTTAGAAGCAAAGAACATTTATCAATGCTCCTACATTACAAACAGAAACATGCACCGTAGAGTAGTAACTTAATGATGCTGTCAATATAAACGGGTGAAAAATGATCCATGTATACTTGCTTATCCATGGCGACAGCAGAATCCAACCAGATTGAACAGATGGACCCGAGAAACGAACCAGACAGCTAATTGAGGGTGAACTAAATGGAAGCAGCGTACATAGCCGTCCACTTGCGGGGCTCCGTCGATTGGTGGAAGTCTGGATGTGTTTGTTTAGTTAATTCAAAGAAGGAGCTACATTAACGGAAGTGCACGAATAGGTATCAAAGGCTTTAGTGGATCAAATGGGCCATCATTGCATTGACTTGATCCTGACGGACTGAGTTTTGAGACATGGTGGGACTGGAGACCACGCCTGTCTTCGGGAATCAGCAGAGAAGTAACGCTTGTATACCATACTTTGAACGTCGCATAGGAGCAGAGGAAGAGTGAAAAAGTGTGAAACTGCAAAGAATAAAACGTTCACGTTGCGAACTGGATCGATGGAGGGGAGTATAAACAATCTGCCCATGTGAACGACAGCTATCAGATAAAACGATATGCGCACGTCACCAATGGCGACTGGGTTGATGCACTGATAGCCCGGGTTGATCGTTGCTGGGTTCAACTGTTCGTCGAGCTTCGTAATTGGTATGCAAGCGTTTCATCACCACACGAGGTGACTTCCTCAGTGTGCTGTTGGGTCAAATGTACCCCGCTGACTTGGTCGTTGACCCCGCAACGCACTGAGGAAGTCACCGCGTGTGGTGATGAAACGCTTGCATACCAATTACGAAGCTCGGCGAACAGTTGAACCTAGAAGTATCCAGTCTCTTCAACTGAAGACCCACGAGTTGACTAGAACGGATAACATCCAAAGGCACAAGAAGAAAAGACGTAGAAATATAGCACTTTGACAATACGTAGATATGGCCGAATGCGCACACACCTGCTGCTTATCATCGGACAACGCGGTACGAGCCATTCGAAGAAAAACAACCATGCAGTGCAAATATAAAGGCACGATGGGACATTCCTGTAGTAAAGTGCGCGGTAACCAGACGCATAGAACTGATCAACCAAACGTTGACCATGATAACAGGTGGTCAAGAAAGTCGGAGAATTAGTGAATTTATAACGAACCACTAAAATCCGCTCGGCGTTACCGGCTTAGGGATAAGTCCGTTTTATGCGCCTCACGTTGTGCAACCACGGTTTCCTAAGGTATAAAACTCAAGAATAATTTAGCACACATTGAATCCACCATTTACTCTCATGCATTCTATTTGCTCCAAAACCACACATTTCTTTCAATGTGTGAGGGCAAAATTTACAAAAAACATGCATTGTCGCTTCGCCAGCTCCGTCAGTGTATAAGTTGAAAATATGCAACAAAGCGCTGTGCATGTAACCAATTGGTCTAGTGATCATTGCGTCAGCCGTCAACTATTGCGTGGCGAGCTTCAATCTCATTTCAAGCTATCTCTACCGGATGAGACTAAACGAGGACGATACCGGACATGGAGTGTCAAGGTTGGGAGGTACAACACCGAAACACCTTCATGTTGGATACGATGCTTGTGATCGGAGTGACCGAGATCTATTTCAAAGTGAATCGAGATCTCAACAGGGATTGCGTGTCGCAAACCATACACACGGCAGGCACACCAAATCCAACTTTGAATTCCTTACTGCTGTTCCAGCTCACTTGATGTGACTAAATTAAGAAGAAACAGGTGCTTCAGTGTGCAGTGAGAGAAGAAAGCAACAAAGAAACACACCTTGTTATTTTGGCAATTGTCGTTTTCCCATCACCGGTCCATTATTACAATACGTACGATCTCATGCATCGAAAAGTCATCTTCTCTGACTAGTTAGTGATTAGGTCCAATATCACAAAGAGTGAGGGGTAAGCAGGATAAACCTTATGGAGCATGTTCTAGAAACATCGATGTGAGATTTAAAAGTGGCTGTTCAGGCAGACATGCATGCGTTAAAACCCACCAGACGACCAAGAGAGGATGTTAGTCTAACGGATGTTTCGTATGCTATCCCCAAAAATAACGGTAAGGGGTAACCGAATCCGGTGCAATGTATCGGTAACGAAAAGCAAACATGCTGTATGTGGGCACATACATCAGAACCCGAAGGAAGATACTCACTCGAGAAATGACACCTTTGATCTGCCCAGAGTCCTCAGAAGAGTTGAACGTGTTAGGTTGTCTGGGTGTGGCAACCGAGCTCGAGGAGAATGAGGAGGGCAAGACGGCACCCATGCCGAAACGTTGGGTTCCATTGCGGCCCGATCGAGTAGAAGAGTCCTTGAGAGTGTCGTCCGTGCTCAGATCGCGCATGATGCGCGGCTGCGTACGCAGCACTGTAGGCAGAAGCGAGAAGGGAAACGTATCACACTGCGCGAAGTTGACTAGGAGTGAAGGACATTTCAAAGCGTATATTGGGAAATACAATGGAATCTGAAGCACTCTGCACACGTTCACTTGTTCTTTCCTCTACGCAACACAAAGAAGCAGACATTTCGTAACGGAGTAATTGAAAAACGACTGAGCGCAATTGGTCCACCTCGTATCGCTCACTTCAAGAGACCACAGGGAAAGGAGAGGAACAGCAATACAGCTCCAAGCACAGATTACTAGTTGAGTTGCCAAAGTGCAATATAAAAAGGTACTACTCACCAGCATTAGTAATACGTGATCCTGAGACGTTGTTGAAGGTGAAATCCGCAGAGCTCGTCCAAGAGTCTTGTGGGGCGCTGGAATGCTCCGTATTGCTACGACGAACTGCCCGGTAGGTCTGGAAAGAAGTTAGAAAATAAGGTGTTTTAGCAGTGCAGGAGGGTGAATAACTCTCCCCTAACCCCCCTACTCATTATCACCTGGTGCAAGATACGGGTACAGCACATTTAAAGTATGATTCAAGACGATTCGCACAGAGTGGTAACTACATTAGAAGGAGTGGGTTTGCAGAATGATCAAACATACTCGGGATAGAGTAGTGGTCTGATTTGAAGACGGAGGACCATCAACAGTTGTAGATGCTGTTGGGAGGGCCACATCGGGAAGTGTCGAATCCGGAGACGTATTTGAGCGTAGTTTGAAACGCGAAACCCGGATGGTTAGTTTATCTGATCGATGAGGAGAGGAGTTGGAAACATTGCATTCGGGTGTCAACGAGGTAGAAGAGATGCATGTAGAAATGGAAGCAGAGGCGCTATTGTTGTTATCGATGAGCTTTTTCGCTTCTTCAACCTCTTCCGCCGAAACGCCTTGAGTAGAACGTCGGGTTGAACGCACGTAACGGGCCTTGACGCTTCTCTGAGTCTCCGTCTCGCCCGACTTTGCAGGAGACATTAGCAAAGACACTCTGGAGAGAGAGAGAGAGAGAGAACGCAGACTAATAAGTAGGAGGACAGACGTAATAGGGCAGAAACATTTACAATTGAAAAGGAGGCGCAGGATCAAGCACAAAATGAACGAAAAAGTGAGAGAATGTGTACACAAGCAAGGGATTTAAGGACGTTTGTGTCAATAAATACCAAACAAAGCAGATAAAAGTTCTGAGGCGCCAACAACAGGCAACCGAAAGTGCATAGCATTCATGTGTCGAATAACTATAACAATGAGTGAAGATGACAAAGGTCAACAACATCAAAGTGCCGCAATAAGGTGAGGTGGTTGGATTCACTGTGACAGTAGTAGTTAAGGAAAAAGAAGAAAGGATGGCCCAGAAGATGGGAGAGCGAAGGAGCGTCAGCAGAAGGGCGGCGCAGCGAAATGGGTTCCACAAAATGTGAGGGTCTAGAGAGCACGTCTGCTTGACGATCAAGTGGAGCGTTGCGATGAGGCTGGGTGATGACTAATAATTAGATGACAAGCATCAATCGTCCAACGCAGATCAACAGAGCGGGTCAGCCGAGATTCGCACCTGTAAAGCAACACTATCCAAACACTAGCGTTTGGAGAGGTGTCGAGATGACGGAAATGCCGAAAAGAAAAAGCCTTCCATTGGTAGAAGAGACAGGTACATCGCTCCTTAGTTAAAGGAAATGCCATACATCTTAATGGCGTGTGGTCTCAAGGATGAGCATAAGGACACGCGATCACCAGTCTTAGGGCAAAACCCGCCACTTTAAGGAGTCCCAACCACTAACACAATCGGGAATGAGCTGCGCAGCTATAATATCGTCACTTAACAAAGTGACAACATTATTATAATCTAGGTGGATAGTTCAGCTAACCCACATTAGCCACAAGCACTGCAGTGACAGACAATCCTAAGAAGAAGAAGACGCTTTATGCTCATATTATGACAGAAATAGTTCAAGTTGCCCTTAGCGGGTTTTTCATGAGGTCCACCAGATGCAATTTGAAGCCAGGGTCATAGCATCGAGTCAAAGAAACAAGTTTGTTTTGTGGAACATGGGCAATCAGTTTCGTACTGAGCGCCCCCTAGTCTGCGGAATCTTAACAAGAATATAGGCATAAGAGCACCAGTATTTCCGTACTATTCTGCGTTACGATAACAACAACTGCAATCAGCGCGCAATCCAAGTAATCCGAATACTAAGTCACAACATCGAAGGGCATCTATAGAGAGCCATCACCGCCAAACAGTAAATCAGTAAATACATGTTCTCGATGATCGCATGTGTCGGCAGAGGTGCTCTAACGTTGAAACTGCGCGTGGTAGGAATAGCGAGGCGACAAAAACCAGTGGAGTGAAGTTGGAATTTGGTTGCTTGGGGTTTGATTGTAGATATCACAGTGTAAAAAAGCAAATGCAATAACGAACGAGCTGTTTGATGTGTCTAAACACGCACCATACGAAACAACCTACCGGCGATTGTTGAGAGACTGATCACTGGGTACGGGGGATGGGGATCGTCTTTCTCTCGCTTGTTTATCGTCCTGTTGTCCTAGAGATGTAGTGGCAGGTGCGCGGCTGACAGTGCCCGGAGGAGGTTGCTGTGCACGAAAGAGCGAACGAAGGGATGTAACAAATCGCAATAACAAAGGAAGATTGAAAGCAAATGAATAATAGAAGGGTTACGAGTTGCTTCATGCACACACACACATACACACGCACGGAAATTAGCTGCGGGGAACAGGCAATTTATAATTCATAAGCACTAGTCAGTGAAGAAAACGAGTAAAAAAAAGGAAGGAATTACCCGCCTACGAATTGTCACGATTCGAGCCGAATTCACGGTTGTAGTCTTTGCCGGAGAAGTAGGAGCTACCGTAGCGGTGGGAGAATGTTCCCTGAGAGATCTACGCAGTCGCGTAAGGCCGCTTAGCTCCACTGCAACGTCAGCATCCGGAATGAGGGCGGTGCTTTTTGCAACCGGAGATTCTTCCGGTGTAGACGAAGAACTCGATGAAGCATTCTCAGCTACAGCGATTCCGTTCGGTAGCTGTGAGCGTTTGTCTTCAGACAAAGTGGTGTGCAACTCACCGGAACCAGCAGATATAAGATATGTGGACTTAGGAGCGTCTGTAGAAGTTGGAACAAAGTCACAAGGCGCCAAATCGTCAACTGTAGGCCGGAGTGTTTGGTCTTTGGGTGGCAAAGGTGACGGAACTGTGGTTTCTGCACGGAAAGGTGACAAAAGAAAAACAGAACAAGTGATGCCTCACCGGTAAAACAAATTGTGAAAGATGTCAAGGATGAAGTAGCTTTGGTGAAAACCAATGTGAAAAAATTCAACACAACGAGTACTAACCAGCTGAAGCATTTCCGATTCACAAGGAGCAGTGAAGCGGTGTGCGGGAGAGATAGATGATTTCTGAAAGTGCTTACTTGTAAAATAAGACGGTTTAAATGAATATCGTTTGGTGGTAGCCACAAAAAGATCATTTAGTCAACTAGACGAGGCAGCATGGCAACTCTGACTGTAAGAGATTAGGTGGGTGACACATGTTTACACATTACATTTTGTACCGAAAGTTGGTGGCTACTTCGCTGAACAAATTCTGTCAAGTTTATCCATTTCTTAATTTTACTAACACGAAAAGCTTGCGGGATGTGAGACTGTAACCAAAAATAGCACCAAACCCGGAAAATAAAACAATTGTTGATGGACACAACTGAAAAGCTAACAACCGTGAAATAATTTTGGAACATCACCGAAGGATTATCCACAGCGTGTTTGGATTGTGATAGACAACCCCAGTCTATACGATGATTTAAAGATAGTTCAGCCCGGTCCACTCTCAGTCAGCAGGCTTTGGCTGACTGGTGTTTTTCCAGACTAGCCAAAGCTTGCTGACTCAGAGTGACCGAGATGAACTATCCATATTTGTACCAATTTCCCACTACTCATTAGTAATGTACGATGATTAGTTTTGAGGTATATCTTGCTCATTACAAGTCACTAAGTCTGCTTTCGAAATGAAGAGTTTTCGATGTGGCTCCATCCCTAACATTGCCATTCAAAAGCAGTTTTGTGCCGGTTTAGACTCTTCAGGTAAAAATAACCAGAGCTGAGAGAGTGGAACAAGGGACACAGTGGATGACGGATTACGTTTGGATTCCTAGGCCAGTGAGCTCTGCGATCCGCGAGCCGTATGCACTCCAGAACCAACCGGTTTCACAGAGTCTGCGAAACAGGACCTTAAAGCCGCATTGACGATATTGCCTAGTATGGCAACGAAACGTCTGCAAAAGAGTCATTCAGCTCGGAGAGCAGTGTAAAACCCCACATCCACCTCCCAAGCTACGGATAGTCACAAGCATTTCAGACTCACTACAGTAGGTGTAAAAATAGGCATAATAAGCGTGCCCACTAAGGATCTACGAACTAACTGCCTGATGGATATCAGGTACGCAGCGAATGGTATATTGCATAATTTCGCCAAGTGGAACGACATATTTGGCAGAAATGCCACAAATGGAGTCATAAAGATGAATCTTGCAGGTAGTCTTGGTGAGCAAGCAGTAAGAGACACGGTACGAAGCAAAATACCCGAAGCACCGGTGCAGATATATTTTCGGTAATAGATGATTTGCATAACAAATTCAAATACCGCCGATGGTTTATTATCGGGCGCAACAGAGGAGTATCTTTAAACCTGCAGTATGACACGGTCTTACAAACACTCCTGATGACCACAGTAGGCAATAATGGACCTCTGCAAACAGAAAATAGTCGGAGGATGCGTGAACGCTGACGTAGGAGAACCAGTGTTTGGCTTACAATACACAAATCGATGGGCACGGACTACCAGTGTTCGTGCGCGCACACACGACAGGTTAGGTGGCGTGGTAGTGTAGCACCGGTAAAAGATTCCACTTAGCTAGGGCTAAATGGAACCTTTCGGCAGTGGCCGAAAAATAATGCTCACCTGACCTGTAATCTTGAGGTCACCGAATTCAATCCGCGTAGGTGCGATTGGTGGTGACAGAGCGGCAGCGAAGCGTAGGTACGACATGTAGGGCCTACTCCTGATACATTTTGGTACACGGTTGACTAGGTATTGTCTGACTTGATAGATGCCTAGATTGCAGCACGATAACAATTACATAGGGTCAACTGTTAGAATAGCTATTTGACATTCATCGTTTGTGAACGAGCTTAATAGCTATTCTTTATTATACCTATTTTCCACTTCTTGACTGTTGTTTAAACGCGCCACCCTGTTAGCCCGATTGGTACACAAACATCATGGTTAATAGACGCTCATCGTGTCATCACCAGTGCCATTTACAAGAACACATTCCATTGGTTTTTCTCTGCATCACTTTTCTACTCAGTTATGTTAAAGGAATATTTAGTTGTCACAATTTTCGTACTAGTTTTTAATTTTGGGTCTGCACTTTTTATACTCGTTTGTTTCGTGACATTTGTTTAAATGCTACATTTCGTAATGCTGATTGGCCAGTGCCCGTCACTGTAAATGGATGTTCAATTTACGCTTGAGGTCACATGATGCTATTTTGCATGACATGCGATTCGCCCATGATCACATGGTCGCTAATTCGCCCGTTGCGTTTGAGGTATTCCTTCTGTTGGTTGGATCAAGTGTAGCTTCCTTTCATTTTGCGTTCAAAACTATGGAAGCAAATGTGATTTCATGTATACAACTTTCTTTCTGGCTCGTCTTTGGATTTCGTCTTGCGGTCGTGGGGTGAAAGCATCAGTGGCAACATAACATCGACTTTAGTCGTTATACATGCAGGTAGGGTGCAAGAAAACCCGGCGAAGTTGTAATAAAAATAGCAACAGCGCCAGTTGTAAGAAAGCAGAGATAAGGAACACAAAAAGCAGACAATGAGTAAAGCATGTGTGTGGCTAAAACTGTCTGGAGTTAGAAGCGCGGAGCGACGGATACGACATCGGCCATTAAGGCCGGTTCCAAAGTGCACTAAAAAGTGTTGTCGAGCATGTCTCCACAGTGTTATTGGAGACAAGAGAGCGGGAAATGGAGAAGTGCCTATCAGATTTCTGTGGAGAAAATCACAAATCTAATGGGCGAAAGCATCTGAAACAGGTGCGAACACAAGTATTGCGTTTCGTCAAGCTTCGAAGCCGAAGTGACGACACAGAGGGATGGCAACTCCGGGTGATTATAGAGGAAAGCCGCTGCAATAACCAAATCATACAACGCCATAATAGTCAGACATTATCTAACTGAAGAAACTAGTGCATATTATTAGGCAGAGATCTGCTGTTTATGTGATCGATATGCAAATTTGGGGCAAGGCTTTCAAAGCGCTGCTAAGGCGAGTAGAAATGCATTCACAAAAGCAACTGATGGTCCCAAGTGAAAACCTGCACTCACGTGCATCGACATCGGGAAGATGAGCAACCGGACCGGGAGTTGATGGGGATGTATGGGCAATCGGAGGTGGAGTAATTACGGGAGGAGCAGCTGTGTTGGAAACCAGGGAACTCGCCACAGGGATCGTTGGTTTGTGTGATATGTCTTGCATTTGTGCAATGTCAAGCGGAGTCGATTCGGAAAGAAGTTTTGCCGACACATCGCTATCACCAGCCGCTACTTTGGTGGGCAAGCCCAATTCAGCTAATTCTGGCTTGCCGTTTACGAGTGCGGTGTCTGGAACGAAGTTTTCCACAAGACTGTCATCTAGCACCTCCTCATCGCTTGACTCTTCATCAGATGCCGGAGATCTGAAAGTAATCGTCAGTTAGAGAGTTCCGTTTCAAAGGAACATTACGTTGTAGCAAGCAGGAATGAACAGAACCTGCGCTTAACAACCACATGTATGAAACAGACAAATAAAAACCTTTAAACGCCCGCGCATTTGCTATGAGATTTCAATACAAATGTACACACGCCTCAACATAAGAGAAGGAGCGTGGAACTACGACAACATCAGCAGTGCTCCGCAGGTAATGATGAGCAAAATGTGAAGCAGCTTTATAACTTCCGACGGAAGGAATCCGATTTCACCGTTGGACTGCATATATGACCATGCGAACGCCACTTTTGATATCAAAAGTTGTAGATGAACCAATGTAGCTCAGGCCCCCGTGATGCTCATGTACACGTTTCTAATAAGACAGCTCGGCCAGGTTGACGTCAGTCAACCTAGCAGAGCTGAAATGCTGAGGAGAAAGTTACAGCTTCACCTTCTCGAACAACATTTGGTGGATAGATCACCTAAGTAGTGGAAACTATCCCGTCGGACACAATGCAGATATGGGATAAATGCCATTGTCGACTGTCCGTCTTTAATTCTGGTCCTTTAACTTCTCCAATTGGTGAGTTCACTTGTTCGCCAACTTCCCTTCAAACTGTACTTCCTCGTTCGATATCGACGCTCCCTAACCATCCAATCTTAACTTCATCGAGGACAAGGGTCAAAGAAAGCAAGTCAGTTCATTGCAGTCGGTTGAGTGGATATTATCATCATTAATACATTTCAGTCGAGGGGGAGGAAGATACCTCAGCTAATGTGTCACAATACAAAAAGGATACGAGATTATACAGTACAGACTACAAAAGCTGAAAAAGTAACACTATATCAAAATCACGTTGTGCGTTGACTTGTTGACGGAGGGCGAAGCTAAAAGGGAGGGGAGAGAGAAAGAAACGAACGACTCAAATGCCATTAAAGCCGGCTTTTGGCCAATCAGCAAGTGTGTCCAAACAGAAGTGTTCATCGGCCCTGGGACCACAGTTAGGCATCGCGATACATCAACAGACGCCGAAGTTGAAGTGAGGGTTTCTATTTCTCTCGATCAAGTCATCGCTTGGCCTCCTCTCCTACCCTTCCAAACGAACCCCCGGTGTGCAAACAACGCATGATGTCGGAGTCGGTGCGCTGGCATGCGCAAAACGTGGCCCAGCCATCGGAGCCTGGTGCGTGATATAATGGTGCTGAGCGGTTCACTCGCTCTCCCTGCACCAAATATGCAGCGTCGAATACGCTGAGAGATCAAGCAGTGTTAGCACCAAACATAAGCCATGGTGCGAAGGCAGCGATGGTAGAACATACGTAGCGTATTTATGTCCTTCTACCTGATGGGTCAGGTTTCACAACTGTATAGGAGGGTTGGACGGAGGGCAGTACCATAAACTCCACCTTTCAAGGCAAGTGATGTTATGTCGGTGCCACAGGTGGCAGAGATTGGCAAAAGCACTCCGAGATTTGGCTATGCGGTTCGATTAAGTTGACAAAGCCTGAAGAAATGAATTGATCTCGCAGCGAAGACCTCATGGCGCTAACTCCACAGAAAAACTGGTAGATGATTCAACTGGAATACTTATTGGTTGAAAAACAAAGTGATGGCACAATGGAAGAATACCGCTAAACGAGACGTGGGTTCCGTCGTGCGCCGTAACTCCGATACACATAGGCACCGCGTAAAAGAAGCAAATCAAAATATCAAGGTGGTACTACTCGTGAAATGCTGTGTGGTGGTAGGAAATACAGCGGTTCACTCTCTGCGCTGAAGAACGAGGGGAGAAATGAAAACGTTCGCACAATGAAAGATCTGTCAAGTCACTGGTTACACCGTGAATCAGACCATCATTAAATATGGAATGGAATAGCAAAATAAGAGGAGAGAAAAACAAAATGGTCGGAGCGCTAACTTACGCTACGGGGGTCGCTTTGACGACTGGAGTAGGAGCTGTAGCTGGGATGCGAGCCTCCGCAAGACGTCTTTCCTGCAAAAGAAAAAGTGGACTAAGGAAATCAGTAAGATTGGTAGTAAAATTTAGTAACAGTAATAGTTAAAAATCGCAAGTAAGGAGGCTAAAAGAGACAATTTAGCGGTAGGACCCTGTGCAATTTTGGGGTACACAGACAAATTCCTAGCCAACCAGCTAAATCTGATTGGGACGTACTGTATCCAGTGGCAGCTTCCAGTGCGAAGAAGTTTAAGTGGCGAGTTTTTTCGGGTTAACGCACATTTGGCAGATGAACACAAAAGTGTGTTCTGTCCGCACGACCGCTAGCACTTAGTGTTGGACATTATGCAATGAGCTGTGAAGTACATAACGCAAAACTTGCTGACTGAGAAACATCAGACAACAACAAAAGGGTCGACGAGGTGATATGATGAAGCTGGGTCTCAGCAAGGACGTCTGTAGCTTGACCTGGTGAACTGTGAGTCAAAATGTTGGGCGGAAATACAAAGTGAGCGACAGAAACAGCGTCGAGAACACAAATAAGAGCAAGCAAAAAGTATCGCGCAACAGTGTCACAATATGTTGAGGGAAGAACATGATGGCTACTGGTGGATCAAATCCTAATTCACGCTAGAGATCACTTGCAAATACACAGCCACCCCTCTCGTGATCGTAGCAAGAGTGTTGGGAGATCAGGCGGCCAAAGTAAAACTTGTTGACGAGGCAGAAGACTTAGGATCAATGGTCGAGTGGTAGGCGAGAGGATAGCAGTTAGTGCATAGACCAAGTTGTTATGCATATTGTGCGTGGGATCAAGGAGGGAGAAAGTCAAGGCATTTCACTTGCGAAGAGAAGTCCAGGGAGGTGCCGTAGGTCAGTGATGTGATAGCCTATGACCCTATATTGCAGGCCACTGGTGCTCATGTGATCCTGTTTACGAGGAACGCACTAAGAGACCGCAAACTGGTTTCCGCGCAGGATTGTTCTAATAGGAATAAAATGTGTGCAGTGCGGGTAGACTGTGTAACGAAAAGTGAGAAGAGAAATGCAAGACGGCATCAGCATTACGCTAACTCATCGCACCACGATTCGCTGTCACGCGATTGCCGCCAGTTGCGCGTGAACGCTGAGTATGGAGTGTAGTCCCCCGCGCCCACGCGGATTCGAACCAGTGACTTCCGGATTACAAGGTAGGCGTGTGATCATGGCGGGTAACATCTTATTTCAGCCGACAAAGCAAATGTAGGCATCAGTGTTCCGTGGTGAGAACGCACAATAGTGTGATAGCTGAAAAAGGGCATGAGTTAAAATCAACATGTAAAATAGTTAAGAACTAGTGGTAAGGGAGCGCCATATCTGATAGAATATTCAACCACTGATGTGACAAATTCCAGGGAACCATACAGTGGGAAGACAACTAGCAATGGGATTGAGTCGTCTGGCGAATGAATGTCGTTGGGACACATCGGGACTTCACCAAAGCAACCGCAATGTCACCAAATAATACGTGCCGAGGTAGCCGACTTGCGGGCTCACGAAGGTCGACGGTCTACTTTGCAGTAAATAGAGTCGGAGGAGAAAACAGTGTAAGGGACATCGACTGGCAAACCAAAGCTCTCTGTGCGCACCTGAACATTGGAAGCGCACAAATATTAACCCTTGGTATGCGGCAGTACATCTCTAAACTTGCTAGCAAAGTAAAAAAAGGCCTACCAAAAGTTATGCGAGTACAGCAACTACGGTGATTCCCCGACCAGAAATGATACGGCTAACCGGAAAAGCAAACCGATCGACCAATCAGAATGGTCGTTCACTGATGTGGAAGTAGCCCAGTCCTCTAACAGCGGCTTGCGCTTTGAAAGTATAAAGCACATATCAAAAAGGGTAGCATTAAGCGCAAGTGAAGATTTTCCGAAATTTAGTATTGAACTCTTAACCGCTGTATCAAGTATGGTCTGCGGATCTCAGTGACCTTGTGTCAGCTGTGAACCCCCACGTCCCGGATTCAATTTATAGTCCACACACAAATCATACTTGTAGAGTCGAAACAAAGACGAAATTTATCGCAGTGGACAGTGTGCGGAACGAGCTGCACTGGATACACTTCAGTACACGTCAGCGAATACTGCGAATACTGCATACTCAACATTTGCACATTGGTCGTTCATAAGAACTGGTGAACTCAGCGGATAGTTGTCCAGCCAACGAAGTCGTAACACAGAGACACTTTAAACAAATAAATTGTATAGTTCTCGATACTGCGAGAAGCGAAACTGAACAAAAGTTGTTACATTTTTTCATGATATTGCTATAATAATTTATAAAAAAAACACATGATTATAAACTTTAAGTTTAGGTAATACAACCTGGTCCGATTCGTTGTGCTGTCGATGAACCACGGTTATTCTCAAACACGATAGATGTTCGGGCGGGGAATCGGAAATTGGAATGAAATGAAATGGGCTGTGGTTCAAAAAGTTATACGCAGATGTTGTTCGTAATTGAGCCTGGCACCACCGACACGGTTCTCGAAAGCATTATCCAGGCATTGTGATGTCCCAAACACATTAATCGCATTTTGGACCGTTAACTGCTTACTAATCGTAAGTTTCAGATTACGCAATGTATAGCATGTTCCGATATCACTTGGAAGTGTATTCCAAACCTTTGAGTAGTGGGTTAGAAAGGAACGTTCACTGATTCTCGTAGTAAATTTTGGAACCATGACATTTGCCTCTTTGTTACGGATTGGATATTAACTGTTTAAAGTAATGTGAACATCGTCATCAGAACTGCGAATTTGATGGTTTATGATTCTGTAAGGAAAACATAGGTTCAGCTTTATTATCTGAAGCTAGACTGGGTCAAATCCAAGCTTATCACGACGCTTTCTGTATGTCACCTTTGAGGAGAAGAGGCGTAGGTTCTTCGTGAAGCGTCGCCATACGCTCTCAAGAGCATATCGATCAGATTTTCGCAGATTAATTTGGCCAAAGGAACAGTATTCCATACAAAGCAAAATGTATGTTCTGTGAAGCCCGATGCGAGATTGCGTGAAATATGTATGTATGTGATATATGTATCCGATTCGCCTTATGACCTACGAAAGTTAAAGTAAAAATGTTCAGAAAAGTTAAAGGTAACAGAATATCGCACGCCGAAGTTGAGAACTGGCCCGCACTGTGATATGTAAGTGTCTTGTAGTAACAGACTGTCTGGCGGTACTTAGCATTTGTACGACAGAATATTACGGTAGTCCACAGCAAATGACATCTGCCGCATTTGGTACCAGGACTCAAGTGCAGAAACGTCATCTTGACTGAGACGTACCGCGGCCTGGATTTGTGCTAGGGTCATTCAAAGCGTTATACTCATCTAGAATGTGAGTTTTGTCATCTGTATGCCTTAGTTCGTCGATCATCGTTGACTGTTGAAATATTAGCGCAAAATCAGTAGCTAACCTGAATTATCGCCGAATCTTACGAATCTTAACCTTCCGGATCGGATTTGTGTTTAGTTTCGTGGGTACATTTTAGCGACATTGATGAATGGATGCAGAAGCACATTATACTATGAAACAGGTCCACCGCTTGCCGGGGACAGGAGATGAGAAAGAAGTTGTACCAATTCACCGAAGGAACCAGGTCCGTGAAGGAGTTCCAGTTGACAGAACTGGATATTGGGTGTAGTACAACGACCACGCTAAGTCTTAAGCAGCGTCTGACCGCCAGGTAATAGCAGGTATGCTCCCCCCCCCCCCAAAAAAGAGATTCAGAGTAGTTGCACCTCTGGTAGGATGGGAGACTTGTGGCTGCCAACCACTGATTTAAATACAGGAAAAAGGGTATTAGAATTTCAAAGCAGCGGTCCTCATGTATTATATCATCGATAGCAGATTGAAGTCACCTCCGTTAGTCCTATATATAAAAAGTAGGCTAGCGATGCATGCAAATGCAAGCTTAAGTTCGGTGGACCGTATATACATCCCACAAGCAGCGGCTGTTAATCAACGGGTGTCATAAGCCAGAGTGATTCATAGACGTCGTTCAACACTGTGTTCTCGAAGGCTGCTGATGCGAGCGATTTTTGTCGGACAAATAACGTAGACTCGACCTCAACGGCTATGCCGATCCCTCTCCGAAACTGATTAACTGATTGTCAGACATGTCGTCATGGCACTAAGATTCAGTCATAAATAGAATGTCGGGAGTGTACAACAAAACAAATGAGCGTAGTGTGTGAAGAGAACGAAGGTGAATTAAAACTATTGAGATAGTTGTAAGATATGCACAAGTTTGTTTAGGCCACTTTATGAACATTGGGGTTTCAAACCCAAAAGAATATTTGCCTACTTGATACATCGACTGAAACCTGGGGGCGACCTACCGGTCTTAGAGAGCTTGGACGGACAGACGCTCATTACAAGCGCGGAGCGCGCGGACGCCTTGGCTACGCACATCACCGTATTTTTCAGCAAACCGGCGGCTGTTCCAGAGTACCGGCTCAGGTTGCGACAGTCTTGCTCGACAGCCTACAATGTGATGCAGTTGAAGTGTATCAGCTACTCGTCAACCTCGATGGTGTAAAGCCACCCGGACCAGACGGACTTCACCAACTAATACTCAAGCCCCTATCGAATATCATCTTACCAGCCGTGACAAACCTATTCAATAAATCACTGTCTGAAGGGTCTGTCTCAAACAACTGAGGATCAAGTCAACGTGATGTATTATAAATTCCAGGAGTACTTACGGCTCGCTGACGCTCACGAAGTTGGCGTAAGAGAACAGTGATTTGCTTGTCTGCAACATCAAAGATTGACTGATTCTGAAGCGGAAAGACAAATAATGACGCTTAGACGGATGTGAGCAGTGAAAGTAAACAGCAGTGGAAAGTGCCGTCTAGTTAAAATAGCAACCATAAAGGATGCAAAAGTGCAGTGGACTTAGCTATCTTGCAACGATCGTCATAAGTACCACAAAGTAAGAATGACAAAAAAGAGGAGATTAGCAAAGATTAAAATGCAAAAGCTGTATCAGGTAAAAGAAGTGCTAGCAAGGCGCAAGGTTGGTTCCAAGCACAAGTTCGACTGTGCACATGATAATTAATCTCGCGTGTGTTCCCAGTCTTCCAAATAAGTTAGGCGGAGTTGTGCTTCGAGGTCCAGATGGCTAGTGTGATCGCACATTAAGCGAAGGTGGTGAGTGATTTCGCACCACTGCATAATGACAAACCATGGTGAAAAATATTCGGACAAACCAGAAGACCAGTGTACACAAGTAAAAATGTTTACATCCGTGTCGTAAAGGAGTTCACTGGATCAAAGATGACGGTCTATGCAGCCGCGAGCAGAGCAACAGTTTGAGAGTCAACTCGAGAGACTGGTATTTCAAGTTACTTCGAAACAGCTAGTCGGAAGAATGCGATAAGATTCTGGGAGCAGGAACGATAGTAAGCGTTTAGTGCAATCACAAGAAAAACAAAGACGGTTTCAAAACAACACTATCTTCCAGATCAAATAGAAGTCATCACGTTAGCTTAAGTTATACGGCGGCAGACCGGCGATGAACACAAATAGGTCATATAACGTTATGTATTATGTGGTGTTGAACTGTATCTGTGATTGCCACACGGCAGATGAAACACACACGCGTCGACTCCAAATGTGCCCTGATACGCCGCTGAATTACCTATGAAATTGGTCGAGAAGCGTAGCAGTGGATCACCTTGGTTAGACAGATGAAAAGCTGTATGAACCCACAGCCTCAGCCGGAAATCAAATCTACCGCTGAACTGTTCTGGGGATATGAATTTCACGGGCCATCATCAATACACGCCGGCTAAAGATAAGAAACACCTCAGCTAATGTACCACAATACAAAAAAAAACAACATACGGGAAAAAAGAAAACGTTACAGAATACAAAACAACACAAAAAGCAAGAAATATATAACTTAGAATCATACTACGCATCAACTCAATCTACCCTGCTCAATGCAGCGAATAGGGCTCTGCGACGAGCAGAGCATCAGGAGATTATTAGAAGAGAAGTTCATGGAATCACATGGTTCACTGAAATGCAACTACCTCTTAATGCCACCAAGTCGGAGTTCATCAGTATCACCAGACGTCCAGGCACTCGACCATACACCTTGGACGGCCAGTTGCGCCATCCCAACACATCTGTCAGAGAATTAGGAGTTCTCTCACACCATGATATGAGATCACTAGAAAATACAGAGAAATTGTACCGTGCGGGACTTCGTATGCTCTGGGCATTAAGATGCAGTTTCTCCACATGGTCCGAAGAAACCGTCCCTCGTCTATTCACATCGCTCATTAGACCAATCCTTGAATACGGTGCCCCAGCTTACCATCCAATAACCAAATGGGAAACTGAAAAGCTGGAGAAAAATACAGTATATCGCAACTAGAATGACACTGAGTCTACCAAAGCTTCCGTATGAAAAACGTTGTGAAAGGCTCGGACTCTACACACTGTCCTATGGCCGAGTAAGAATTGACCTAATTATGACCCATCGAGTACTACACTTGAATCACTTCCCCATACTGCGGCCAATATTTCATCTGCGAGAACCCTGTAACACCCGAGGACATCGTTACAAACTCAAGGTCCCCAGCATGAACAAAGTATCACATCAGCTTTGTATCGAATGAAGAATCGTAAACTTATGGAATACACTACCCGAAGGATTAATAGAGGCCGATTCTGTGAAGTGTTTTAAAACCCGTATCGACGATTATTTCGGAAAACTGTGCTTTTGTGAAATGATGCACATACAATGCCAAAAAAAGACATTGTATGCCCGGAAATAATGATAATAGTACAAATTCCTAACCGAACAAGGATAAACGATTAACGGGCCAGACACAACTGCTGATGATTCAAAACTAACTGTTTTTAATTTTTCGTAATACGATAGAGTTGTACAGAAAGCTTTCTACTTGCTCTTAAATCCAGTCTCAGTCTCACATGGGCATGATATCATCAGCTCGCCTAGGCCTAGACAAGAGAACGACCAGAGTTATCAACTAAAGCCTTTGGTTTTGAAGTAAGGAGCCACTTTCAGTCAAAACCCTAACCTGGAGGACCAGGAGCTTGTGCTTTTCAGGTCTCTAACCATTGATCAATCTGCGATGAGTGGGTCTGGAGGTGCAAAAAGCATCATCCAGCATATCTCAATGGATCGCTGAGACATGTAAGCCAGGTACAGTCTCGTCGCAACGACAGAGATTCTGAGTAGGTTACCAAAAGTTATCACTGCAGATAGTAAAGAATGGCAGAAATTAACGGGGAGTTTCTGATTGTACTGAACCCAATAAGACGTAGTCGCCTATCAGGTGTAGGCTAAAACGAAGCTAACAAGTGAACAAGGATGTCTAGTGGACTCACGAAGCCCTAAAAATGGACGAGACAGCAGCGTTGAGTAACTTCTGCAATACATTTCAAGCGATCCACGCTACTGATCTGCGGAAACAGATATCTATGATACAATCGCGGACAACGTAAAATATGTTATTCGCAATTAAGAAGAATGTATGGCTCGCCTCGCAGAGTCCTCTCGGGATCAACTAGCTGATTATCTGAACCTGAATCGCTTTGCGTACATATTCGAAAACTGAATCATGACCGGTTGAATTAGAATCTAAGGTAGGAAAACTGGCCAGAGCTTCCAAAGTTTATGCGTTAGCTCCAGATTCAACAGGGAATCTGATATTTAAGAAGGAACATGAGGCCGGACGCAAACCAGAGGTCAAACGGACAGAATAAGTTTGGAAAGAAGAGACCGAGTCAACCAATCAGAATGAATCCAACAAGGGCAGCTGCATCGATTGTGCTAATCACGGGAGCAACAACTTGATGCAGGCAAAATGAGGATCCGGTATGAGAGAAGACCGGTTTTCAATAGAGACAGAGCTGCAAAGATCATAATTCTACGCGGTGACAGGCGTTGAAGTAGCGTCATTTGCGCATCACACCGACTGCAGCTGCGCATGCTGATTTCAAATATGTGTTTGACTCGGTCGAACATAATGTCCGGAAAAGTACTCACATGATAAGCGAGTCTAGATGCATTAGACAAAGCCAGTCGTCATCATCAGTAGTACACGTTAGCTGAAGAGAAACACACACAGCTAATAGGCCGTAAGAGAAAAAGATAAATATATCCACAACAAAACTGTCCCGAGTTTCTGATAGTTCCTGTGAAAGTCGACCAAATTTGACTCAAGCCGCGGCCTCACTGAGTCGGTGTAGGAGTTTAAGTAACTCCTGCACTGGAACTTTGCCGACTTGAAACTTCGAGAATAACCACCATCATAATAGATTTGCTTAAAAAATATTAGGTGTAGCTACACAGAGGCATCTCCATGACTGAATGTGTTCAGAATTCAGTAATCAAAAAGCGAGATACAAAGTATCATAGAAGAAAAAACAAGCAATATAGAGCTTAGTATCATATTGCGCATCAGGTATGAGGACATGATTGGAGGAGGAAGATGAGCGGCAGGTAGAGGAGCAAAAAAACTCACAACACAAACGTCGACTCTTTGCCGTGTCAAGAAGTGTATCCAACCAAACATGTTCGCCGGTAGTCGGGACACACCAACAGGTGCCAAATTTGAAGTGAGGGTTTTCAATATTCGTGGTCAAGTCATCGCTTCGCCTCCGCTCCTCTTTTTCATCTACATCCAGGTCCAGCAAACAGGGAATGTCGCGGGAGTCGGTGTGCTAACATGCGCAACACAGAGCCCAGCCATCGGAGCCTGGTGCGTGATACGGTGGTGCTGAGCGGTTCACTCGCTCTTCCTGCACCAAAAACGCGACGTCGAACATGCTCATTGCTCACGCTATGTTCCCACCAGACATGAGCTAAGTTGCGAAGGCCGCGATGATCGAACGTAACTAGCGTGAAAGGTGATAGCGGATTGCCGAACGCAATTCCGACAGCTTCTGTTAACCAATACTTCCATTCAACATGGAGTGCTTCCCAATGGAATCGCATCACGCAGACAGTAGTGCCGCCAGATGCAATGTCATTGATGTGTGGCGCGCAGACGGACGACAAAATCTGGTGATTAATTATGGAGAAACTGCAAGGAATGAGTTTATTTCTTGGCACTGGTTCGGTTCCGTGTCAGAACAGCTAGTAGCTTGATAAACCCATGATAACTGACGGCGAGAGAGTGAAGACATTTGGTTAGCTAACTGCTTTTAGTCACTATGATAGCAGTGACCAGCGTGTAGCTGTTGAGATGGATAAAAAGTAGTTTTGAAAAACCGGACCTTAAAGACTGGGCAGATAAGGTTAATGTGGAAGACGTTTTGATCTATGACAGTGAGACCTGACGCTTTCGATTTGAGTATCTGTGCCTTTACGGGTTTGTTCAACGCTGCTGCGCGAAACAGTGTGTGTGTCGAGTGGCACAAAAGCGGTGCGCAGGTAAGAGCTACGTCGCGCAGATTAGGCTAAAACACCGAGTAAAAACAAAATCCAGGACAACCTATATCCTTTGACTTAGGCTGTTTGAGATAAGGGCATTATCTTGTTTGTCTGATCTGGAATCCGCGGGAGATTGCGTTAGTGACTGCAACAGATCTGATAGTGCTTCCATAGCAAACCAACGCGTAAAAGAGTGTCGATATTGGCCTACAGGACTGCTATTGATTTGTTCTCTTTTTCTTCCCAATTCGTTTTCAATGGTGACAGAGTAGTCATCTCCCGCACGTGTTCACGCCATCCATCCACCTAAGGCTCGGACCTTCATGGGCAACGGTGACAACGGCATCCAGCTCGCCATGAGGTGTTCCTCTGGTGAATTCTCAAAGCAGATCCACCTCTCAGTAGGTGGTTGCAATGAAAGTATCCAATTGCCTAGCTATTAGGAACCACATACGCGTTGGACGCAGAAGACCTCAGGACCATCGACCGGACTACTTTGACCGCCGGACTAAGTGTTGCTGATTAATCTCGCCCGCGTTTGATTCCGATAGTCAAAACCATAGTTCCCAATCAACCGCCTCACTGGTGTGTTCGTAGTCGACACTTACTCGGATTAGCTGTCTGATTCTGTGTACGGCTGATTATAAGGAAGTGGCCGCGGAATGCTTTCTCGAAAGCTAGCCGGTTGTGTGTGAGTGAGTGAGTGCGACGCTTGCAACATGCAAGCGCCTAAATTGTTGCATAGAGCATGCCAGGTTCTCATCCTCATACTCCGTCGCATCACAATAAAGCATAGAGCGAAGAAAGGTACAAATAAATGGTGCATTACTGAACACATAACCACCCAAGTAATGCGTGGCTATTTTCCTGTGTCCATCGAGAGATGTAATAAGCCAATAGAGCAACAAGCTGGTATAAAAACCGAGACTAATGGATATGCACTGCGAATCCCCCTCTAGTAATGTACTTCAAGAATGGGTTCGGACTCGCTTGGCCCCGTAAAGTCGAGATAGCGGTACTGCGACTTGAACGCAGGGAGTAGAATGCCAGTAGAAGCTTTGATTGCTAAGCCATCCAGTCGCCGGTGAGGTTTGTCACAAGGAAACAAATGAGCTCCGCAAAGAGACACTGCGTTAATACAAACTGAGAAAATCGGACCCTTTGGTAAAGTAAATCAACGCGCACTGGGATCTCGTTTGTAAGCTACACGAGTACGGAGAACATCAAGATGGCGGTAACCAGTTGGATACGGACCATGGAGTGGCCAACTCAGAACGCGAACATTAGTTGTGCCCTGACGCACAATGATGTGCGGGTTCAGGGAATTTTGACCGCATGACAGCGTGACCCAGTAGGTCGGATTGAATCGCGATGAGAAAATAAGGGGTGTGATGAAAGTAGTGTTTCATGCCAACCATATCACGGTACGGAGTATCGATTTCCAGCATTATGAGAAACACTGGCGCACAAGATGCACGCGTTCCACTATCGGACGGCAAATTGATCACATACCTTCTAATCATCATAAACAATTGTCACAAAAAATACGACCTGAACTCAGACCACATCGTCACTCCATAAAAGTGTAGCAGCGATCGAGGGCAGCGGCAATAAAGAATCGATAGTAAGACGAATTGCGATGTAAGCCCAAACAACGTAGACAAAACATCTGCTGGCAGATATAAGGTACTAACAGCGGAGCTCCATGCAGACACCAAATAGGTGCGTGCCTAGCACCTTATATTTAGACAGAAAAAACAGGGTACTGTGAAGTTCATTAGCATTACTAAAGCCCGACTTCTAAGAGCATTTAGATTACTGAGAAAATGCAACGCGAGGAAGAGCGAAGAGAAACCAGAATGCAGTGACTTCACAAACAACCGATTTCACTCAGCAGGCAACCGGCCTAGCTGAGGATGGTAGTAGGTGACCGTTTGGCAGCAAAGCGCACAGCGGGACTGACGTCAGCCTGACGATTTACTTTCAAAAGCAACTCAGAATAAGGTACAACACAGCCACGGTGAGATGACACTAGTTCAAAGTGATGATGAAGACGGGCAATCCTCTGGCCTATTTATGACAAAGCAAAGCATTGACACTTCCGACAATAATAGCATGGTCATTGCAAATCGCAAATTTTAACAGGTGCAATGTTGCATCTTGAATGTCTAAGCAACAGTGAATGAATGTTTACTGGTTTCAGGTTCTGGTGCATATTTGGGTATTGTGATTAGTAAGTCACGCGTTCGAAAATCGCGTTACAATGTGTTTTGACCGTCGAAGTACAGACTGTTTCATCGCGGATGGTCGAGCAACATCCACTTCACGTCACGAAGCTAGCCGCAACTCATTCCGTAGAATACAAAAATATACTGCCATAAAACCACGTTTTGATAATCCGAGCTAGTAAATCAAATGATGCACACATGGCGTCACCCGCTAGCATTTTTAACAGTAATAATAACCACCACCAGTATCCTCAGTGGTAACAGAGTTTGCTAGTGCCATGCACTGAAAGAGCGCCGCCATGTACCCAAAGCGGAATGGGAATAGAGAAAAAATACCTAATATAAGAGCTTAATGCCCCGAGCAATCTTTGGCATAAATTTGGCACATCAAACGATGCGATACTATTACAGGCTAACTAGTTGTTGACCGAAAAGATTAGGTGACTGCCTTGTAGTCCGGTGCGAATCTACGGCGTAGGTGCGGGGTACCCAGAAAACGCACGACGGATGCCGGATACGTGGCAGTACTGCGTTGGTACAGTAAGCCTGCATACTGCTGACGTCTTTGTCGGCACAGCTAAGCAAATGTCATGTGATACGAAGGCGGCGCAAGCGAAAATGTCTCATTGCGGTTCTCATTGACTTGACAACTCGCACTGCGGATACTAAAAGCATGTAGCATGGTTGTGAGAGAAATGTAAACGCATTATTGGTGCTGATTGCGGTGAGCCATGATATTAAGCTTCGGGAGCCAAGCACGAAGTGAGTCGCATGAAGATTAAGCCGAACAGCGAGTGTCCCACACAAGTGAGTTCAGGGTTCGTCGACTCCCCAGTTCCAAAACTAATAAGTAAAAACTTATTAATTTTGGAATTGGGGAGTCGACGAACTCTGAACTCACTTGTGTGGGACACAAGCCCAGCAAACAAAATAAAAATACCGGAACAGTGGATATGGGTATTACGAATAAATCTTATCCGTTCAACTAGGATACTAACCCTAACAAGTTCAACGAAATATCCTCATGCATGTAACACTGCGGTAGACGCATTGGTATTAGCCAACAGGTGCAATGTATCACAGGGAAGAAAAACGAAGGATGTGAAGAAGCCGAGAAATTCAGTTCGGGAAAATAACGTTTCAATGACGTAAAAGAGAAGGGCCTAGATAGGGAAGTCGAGACACAGCTGATCTGATTTCAAACCCATTACCCATTACAGATAAGCGGTGATAGACGTGATGTTAGACAGATGGCAAACGGGTAATTCAACGGACAAGAACTACAGTAGCGGCAGCTGGTTTTTTAGATGAACGTGACCTGACACCGTGCATATAGACATGGTGTCAATCGCTTGTCAACCATGCAACCTGATCTCGATCGTATAAACCGGAGAGACAAAGCAAAATAGCGTCTGTCTAGAGTGATTGAGGTGCAGCTTGATTAGAGAAGGAAATGGAAGCGGGTTGGCCTGAAAAACAATGGCCTGATAAGTCAATGAACCCAGAATAATGACAAGGGATGCGATAGCGGTTGGTTCATGGAGCAAATGGAAGCAATGGGTAACCAATGAAAAGCAAGTGAATCAAACGGTGCCCGTGTGTGCCATAATAGCGTGAGACAACCGGAGAGCGGAGAGGATTGGAGAGAAAATACAGGAAACAAGTTCTAAATGGTTCTAGACAGAGTAGCAGTGGACAGAACCAAACGGCGCGTGTAGGCCAGTGAACTTAGACTGATGGCATAAGAAGCGACAGTGAGAAACGCCAAGTGATGTGAAGGTGCTGCAAGTGAGTGTCTCAAGTGTACTGCGGTACAGGTTAGTCTACGCCTAATAACAGTGTGACAGCTGTCCCGACTTTGAATTACCTCTTGGAGAGCTAGACAGCGAAGCAGCAGAGCGTATACGGATAAACACAGTGCTATCCAACAAGAGTGACGCAGTCGCTCAGATGGGTGAAGCTAGGGTCTGTTTCCAGTCAAACTAGGCAACGGTGCAAACTGTTGTCGCGTTAACCTAGTAATGAAGCAGAATCGAACAATTTGAGGACACAAATCACATACAAAAGTATGTTGCACGCACTATCGTACAGATGCGAATGGGTGGAACAGTGACAAATTGCTCCAACATTAACATGTGCGGCGCAATGGGCATCAGAAATAGGGAGTTAAACCAACAAGTCGTAGGGGTGAATACTGGAAAAGGAAATCTATTGAATGTACGTGACGCACTACCTCCCAGACAACATAAATTGACGAACAGGTGGGCAATGAAAGCAGGTGTGGTTCGCTGAATCACGTACCGAATACGTACACACATCAAAGCTAGCACCGGCTTCGACCAACAAGCGTGCAGACTCCTCGCGGTTCCAGTGGGCAGCCGCGTGTAGAGGAGTCCAGCCGTCATTGTCTTGAGCGTTAATGTCCACGCCAGGAATCTTGAGCAACATTTTCAACACTTCCGGATAGGGTTTGCAGGCGGCCACATGCAATGGAGTCGCTCCTGAGAGTGGATCCACTACGGGTCTGGGGATTCGGATGGATACAAGCAAATGACAGAAAGGGGTTAAGAAAAAATGTAATGTAACGATTGAACGTGGCAAAATAATAGATTGGAAAAGGAGACACTAGAACCGTGATTTGGGAAGACAGTTTGGTGCTCACGGCAGTAGAGAGACCAAATGTCGCGTCATGAGAGGATAGTCACGTGCCTGCATTGTGAATTCGACCCAGTGATGGATCAAATGACGGGAAAATCCAACCACTTTAAGAAGAAGCACAGCGAGTGAAGTGAGAACATGAAACATGTGCAACGGAACAGTAAACCACGTGATCAAACACAATGTCACCACCATTTGTATTCCTACATGTGCATAGTCGCACAAGGATCGCTTGGTTCGCATACGAAGCATCCGTAAGAGTCCGACATGTTACTCATCGTACTACGGAAGTGAGTGAGAACCACTGTGTTGAGAAGGCCAAACAAAGAGGAGTATAGGTTGGTAAGCGAAACACCGAGAAAAATCAATCATCCACATGAGATGGATCAAAGTAGAACAAAGTGGAGAATGGGACAAAAGGTGAAACATAACGGTCCGGATGAGCGTGTTGAGCTTAGTTAAGTAATGTGATTCGAGCACCGAAACGCAGTGGGCACAGCATAGCCAGGGTTCGTGTCACAATGCTAGACGATTAATGATAACAGAAAAAGTATAGGAAGACAGAGAAATGCGAAAAATAGAGCTCACAACAAAGGCAAATATCAATGAGTGAATGGGATGTTCAAGAATTGGATACAAGCCATGAATGCAGCAGTGTCATCAAGCCTGAGGCTATGCCAAGCTGAATAATAATCAGTAATCAATGACACAAATCAGCACCAGAGGCCCATAGGTCAGCCGACCATGGCTTGCAGGAGAGAGAGAGGTAAAAGTCGAAGGGGCCCATCTGTAGTGTGCAATCAACGCACGCAGCTGTGAGACACAGGGAATGTCGGTTACAAACATTCATGTCGTATATCTACTCAATATTGTCACAAGAACAGCAATACACAGAGAGGTGATTGGTGATCGATCACAACCAGTCTCTAAACGCATTCAGTGTAGCAGTCATGTCTCCGATTCACACAGAGGAACAAGAGAATTGGAGCGTGGTACAACCCAAATCTCGACTGAAGTGACCACACGCGACTGATGTTAACAAGGTACAGGAATTGCAACGCGAAGCGACGGTGGTGCCTGGATCACCAGTAGAGTAGTGGCGGATTCGTTCGGATGTTCGGCTTACAAGACGCGTGGGTCACTGGTTAGAAACTGGACAGGTGAGAATAATCTCGGAGTAGTACTTCGGGCCAACATGTAAGCACTGGTGGGTGAATAGCAAAGAATCGACGGTACGAGCTGTCATCGGTGCACCGTTGGACTGTGTTCATCAGACCTCTGGAAGTCATGAAAATCTCAGACTGTAGCACCGATGGATTACTTCAAGTGGTCATAGATGACAGTCTCCGTCAACAGCAACATCATCATCAGCAGCAGCAGCATTACACATTAGCTGAGGGTGAGAAACATACCTCAGCTAATGTGCCGCAATACAAAAAGATAAAACACTGAAAATTTGCACTGCAAAGGATTAAAGGCAAGTAATATAATGCTAAATATCATATCATTCAGGTACTATGAGGTCGCAATCGGAGGGGGAATCTAATGGGGAGGGTGGACAAAGAGACTCACAATATAAACGCTATGGCGGTCGGCTCTTCGCCATATCGGCAAAAGTGTACAAGCAAACTTGTTTAGCGTCCTTAGGACCCCCCAGTAAGGCAGCCGGAATGTACCAACCGACGTTAACTTCGAAGTGAGAGTTTCCATTTCCGTCGACCAAGTCACCGCATGGCCTTGCCTTCTCCTCTTCCAAGTACACCCTCGGCGCGTAAACAAGGCACGTCGCGGGAGTCTACGCGGAGGAATGCGCAACACGTGGCCCAGCCACCGGAGTCTGGCACGTGATATAATGGTGCTAAGCGGTTCACTCGCTCTTCCTGTACCAGATACCAGACGCAGAACACATTCTATGCTCATGCGGTGCTCACAACAGAAATGAACTAAGTTGCGAAGACGGCGATGATCGAAGGTGTCCAGCCTCTTTGTCTATGGGCCTAACGTGCTAGGTTTTACAAAGGTATAAGATGGTCGAAGGTACCGACGCATTGTACACTTTATCCTTAAGGGCGTGATGTCGTGCATGCGCCATAAGCGGCGGAGGTTTCCTAAGGCATCTCAAGCATTTGCTATACGGTTCGTAGCTCATCTTCGAACATATGAGCACTACCACAGCTGCCCAGATACCTGAATTCCTGAACGACATGAAGCTGATTCCCACCATGGGTCAGTGCAGTGGTGGGTCCCAGTCAATCTTGGAAAAGGACTTTGCATTTCGAAGGTGTAAAGCATAGCCAGAAACGAATGACATCCAGTACTGATGTGTCCAGTGCAGCTTGGCACGTTTATCAGCTATCACAGATGAGGACAATGTCGTCCGATTACTCCAAGTCAAGAAGTGGTTCACTAGAAAGTAGTTTCACACCTTCTACGTTGTGCTGCTTAGATGATCTGGTCAATGGCAAAGTCATAGATGAAAGGTGGATATATATTGGATATATTGAGGTGCGGCGACGGTTTTCAATAAACAAGCTCCCTGCCCGAAGTATGCGCGTACAGCGCTCTGATAATGTTTACGCACTTTCGAACACACTTTCCACAGCAGACAGTGTGAAAGGGCACATCGATCAAACGAATCGAAGACACCATTTGTGTCGAGAAATACGACAACGGTAGGTCCCCAGTTAACATGGCGGTGCTCCAACAATTGACGCAAGGTGAAGATGTGGTCGATGCAGCCCCGACCTCACGAATAGGGGTTTCATGAATGCTAGTCAGTTTCTGAAGAACGACAGACACGAGAAATTCAGAGGCAACTGAGATCAGACTGATCCTTATATGATTGCCGTATTCAGAGCGGGAGCCACAGTTGAAAATTGGGACGATGATGAAGTGGCTCTAGTCTGTCGGGACAGCTTCCTGCTCCCAAAGTTGCAATAGCAACTCGTGTAAATCATTTACTAGAGAAGGTCCCCGAATTTGAAGAGGGTAGGGAGAATTCTACCTGCCTCTGCGACCTTATGCAATTTCAACAGTATGACCGCACGTTTGACTTCTGTGCATGAGGGTGGATCCAAGGAGACAGTTCAGCGAGAAGAGCAGTCAATGCTCGAAGAAGAAAGTTAAACTGCCTTGCAAAGTATTCGGCTTAACACTCCAAGAGTTTTGGCAGGCTGTGGATCGGCTTTCCATTCTCGTCGCGAATATTTTGGCTGACACCAGATCTCCTACTACCTGTTTCCAGGATCAGACGCACTAGCTTACGATAATTACCAACGTCCGCGACTATCTACATTTCCAATGCATAACGGGACCACCAGGCTTCACGGTCTCTCTTCAGAGTAGTACGCAGTTTCGCCTTGAGATTTTTGCGAGTTGCATTATCTACGGTTTCAGCCGGAATACCTCGGTGAGCAACCAGAAGTTTCCGAGACTGTGTAAAGACCCAACGTCCAGGCTGGCAATTGGATTTGCCACAAAAGACATGTCTGCTGATAGTAACGCCCGGCGACTAGTGATCTTCGACAGTGTTCAGTGAGCGCTTAATCAGCTCAGATGCCAGATACGAATTCAGAACACGTGGCTTCGAAAATGGGCTGCTGCGCGCATATCGTCGTTTCGGACGTCCGCCAAAACGCACACGAAGGTCGGCACACACAAGAGCATGATCAGTGTACGCTCGTGCTTCAAAGCGAGTGACAGTTTTGGATGCAGCCTCTCCAGCGGTAAGTGATCGCAATGTGATCGAGTTGCGTACATAGCTGATCCGAGGCTTGTCGGCGCAAAGTCACCGTTCTGCGAGAGTTGTGTCGAAAATTAGTGCTCGCGAGAAAGAGACGAGCATTTTCACAGATGTAGCAACAGCTAACCGTTTTCATTAGGGGAGCCTAACCCATGTTGGCTGCCTAGATGAAGCTCATCAGAGGACAATTCACCGACTTGGGAGTTCAGATTACCACAGTATCCGTAACGAAAGCGATCATTAAGTTGGTGATAGAAATCATCTTTCACCAAATCAGTGCTGCAGTTCATAGGGGCGTAGGCCCCAATGACAAACAGGCACCGTTTGTCATCTAGCGACCGGAACGAGCAAGCCAATCTAACGGTGCACATTCGGTTGTTGACTAGGATCAGGGTAGTTTCAGCTCGGGGGCTCAAAACAATGCTGACGTCAACTTGACCGGTACCTGAAATTGCGCCATCTCCAGATAGGCGCAATGAGAAAATACCGCCAGTGTCGCACGTTGGGGATCTCAGGGTAATTACAGAACTCCAATCCCGCAGGCGAGTTTCTAATAAACTGCAAATAAAGATCGATAGGGTCTCCAGTGCTCGGGCAAGTGCTGCCTGTTGACTAATCTGAAGTGCGCACGATGAAGCATGTCAGTCTTAGCGAAGATCGAGAGCTCCAAAGAGAAACGGATAAACTGATATTGACCACTTGGTTGAACATGGACTTGTCAACGTGACTGGGGCGATGCCCTGCGATTGCGTGGGATTTGAAATTAGAAGACAAGCGATTATTGAAGCAAGATGGGGAAGGGCCAAGAACTGGAGAATTGAAAACAGGAAGATAAAATGAAGTTGGAGCGGGATACAAAGGACAAAAAAGCGCAAGAGAGGAGGCAACAAGAAGAAGGCCTGAGCAGTAACATCCAAACCCCCCATCCATCTTGATCGAGGCAGCAGATGGGGCGCCGTTTATTATCCTTTGTGATTGCCAGAGTCATTTAATCAACAATAGCAGTACAGTAGCCACTTGAACTGATACTTCGCTGTCATACAACCATGATGACCTATAAAAATAAAGAGGGAGAGTAGGGGGACTTCCCGGAAAACCTTAATGCCCTAAGCAAACATTCAGCG